AGCAAGCAAGCCTCCCTGTTCGCGTCAGCTGCCTGGCTGCCGGCCACCATCTTGGTTGGCAGTTAATTTGCATATCTCAGTGATTAGCCAATTGGAAGGGTAGCGGCCGTACAGCTATTTACCATGTTTCTCTTTTATTAGATAGGATATTTATAGTTCAAGACAGGGCATTCACACCAACAACTATTGGCGTGTTGGCTGTTGTCATTTTTAAAAAAATATATATTTTATTGATTTTTTTACAGAGAGGAAGGGAGAGGGATAGAGAGTTAGAAACATCGATCAGCTGCCTCTTGCACACCCCCTTCTTGGGTTGTGCCCGCAACCAAGGTACATGCCCTTGACCGGAATCCAACCTGGGACCCCTCAGTCCGCAGGCCGACGCCCCATCCACTGAGCCAAACCGGTCAGGGCTTAAAATATATTTTTATTGATTTCAGAGAGGAAGGGAGAGGGGTAGAGAGATAGAAACATCAATGATGAGAAAGAATCATTGATCAACTGCCTCCTGCACACCCCACACTGGAGATGGAGCCCACAACCGGAGCATGTGCCCCGACCAGGAATCAAACCGTGACCTCCTGGTTCATAGGTCAACATTCAACCACTGACAGCCATGCCAGCTGGGCCATGAGTTATCAGCATAGCTGTTTCATCCCATTACTAGATTATAGCGTATTTGAGAGTAGATATTGTAGATATCTCATTCATCATGGTATATTTCCCTACACAGTATCTAGTACATAAGAGATGACCATTAGAAACTGGTTAAATTGATCTTAGTTGCCTTGTGGCCTCCACGTTGTTAGCATTCATTTTGTTCAGAACCATTCCTTGGGATTTCCCTGGAACCGCCAGAGCAGTGGTTCTCAACTTTCCTAATGCCGCGACCCTTTAATACAGTTCCTCATGTTGTGGTGACCCCCAATTTCATTGTTATAAATTGAACATAATTAAAGCATAGTGATTAATCACAAAAACAATATGTAATTATATATATGTTTTCCGATGGTCTTAGGCGACCCCTGTGAAAGGGTCGTTCGACCCCCAAAGGGGTTGCGACCCACAGGTTGGCGGCCCACAGGTTGAGAACCACTGCTCTAGAGCAAGCACTTATGTCAGTTGCCATAATTAATTGATCCACCTGATTCTTTTTTAACTTACCTGTGGGGTGGGAATGGGAGTGAACAGAGATGGGAAAGAAAAAGGAAATTGTGTGAAAGCTATATTGTATCAATAGGTTAATTTACATACCTGTTTTATATCTAAGCTACATATTTAGGAAGTTTAAAGTGATTAACTTTTTTCTGTGTTCAGGAACATGTCAAACCTATGCTTCAAAGATTCTAGACCAGCCGTGGGCAAACTACGGCCCGCTTGAAATGAATAAAACTAAAAAAAAAAAAGACCGTACCCTTTTATGTAATGATGTTTACTTTGAATTTATATTAATTCACACAAACACTCCATCCATGCCTTTGTTCTGGTCCTCCGGTCCAGTTTAAGAACCCATTGTGGCCCTCGAGTCAAAAAGTTTGCCCACCCCTGTTCTAGACCATCTTTATTTAAATTATTTTAGTATTTTTATTACTTAAAAAAAGAGAAAATATTTTTTAAAATCAGTCCCCACAACATTTTGAATATTATATATTTGTAAGACCATGTTTATTTGGAAAGAAATCATGTGCTACAAAGTAGTTAAACCTTTTCTCTTTTTAAAATAAAAGTTGTTTGCCCAAGCCAGGTGATTCAGTTAGTTGGAGCGTTGTCCCATGCACCAAAAGGTTATGGGTTCAATTCTGGTCCGGGCATATACCTAGTTTGTGGTTCAATTCCCAGATCAATGTTTCTCTCTCTCTCTCCCTATTCCTCTCTTTCTAAAATCAATAAAAAACATATCCATGGGTAATAATTAAAAAATAAAAAATGAAAAAAATGAATAATTAAAATAAAAGTTGTTCGCTTTGCTCTTGAGCAAATAAATGTTTCTTCTTGTTATATTGCCTATAGTCTGTAAGACTTGATGATTGTGGTCTGAGTTAACTTTTGAGGCGTATAGTTTTTAAATGTTTTGTTTGCTTTTTTGGACAGATAATATATTCTAATGTATTTTAGATGAAGAGCCAGACAAGGCCAATTAACATAGTGTATTAACCTTTTATAATTTATAAATTACTTTTATAGTTTCTATGGTCCCATTTGATCTATGAGTCAGGACAGATATTCTATTTTATTTATGAGCTCCCTGACTACCTAAGTGTACAAACCTCGTTGATGGTGGAGCGAGAGTTTGATGACTCTTACAACCACTGATATAGTCTCCCCTTGTCTGTGTGGTGTACGTTCCAAGACCCCCAGTGGATGCCTGAAATTTGATAGTACCAAACTCTATATATACTGTTTTTTCCTGTGCATACATACCTATGATAAAGTTTAACTTATAAATTAGGCACAAGAACTCCCAACAATCCTATATAATAAAAGCCTAATATGCACATTGTCCCCTGGGGCGGTCGTTCGACCAGGAGACCAGGAGTTCGACCAGTCACTATGATGTGCGCTGACCACCAGGGCGCGGTGCGGAACATGGTGGGCATTGGCGATGCAGCGCTGGCAGCGGGCAGCAGTAGAGGCGCTGCCAGCCCAGATGGGCCCCGATGAGAGTGGGACCATGGAGGGGTGGTGGAGCAGGTGAGCAGGTGGCGCCAGGCCAAGGTGGGTGCAAGCAGAGGCCTTGGTGCTTCCCAGGGCCCAGAGGTCAGCTGGGACCTGCCCTTCCATGCCAGACGCCTGTGCTTTGGTCACCGGCCAGGCCTAGGGACTGCACCCATGCACGAATTTTGTGCACTGGGCCTCTAGTAACTAATAATAAAATAGAACAATTATATTTTAGTAAAAGTTATGTGAATGGCGTCTCTCCAGTAATTTTGATATTTTTCAGTCCAAACCATCCGTTACTTGCAGTAAATAGCTTGATGTCACTTGTTTCAGGGGATCACTTGCTGAAGTCTTTGTATAGGCTCAATGCTTTCTGGCGCAACACAGTGCTGTCAATAGGAACACATTTTCTGTTATGTCTACTACCCACAAGTGTAATGACTTTTCTATATTAACTAACCACCCAACATGCACTGTGGCCATACCTTTTGCAGTTTGAGATGCAATGCAAAACTAGCATGAATTTGTTTTTCTTCTTCACAGTTTCATAGACAGATTTGTTTTTACCGTAGATCTTAGCAACCTCAACATACAAGTTTTTTCTTTCCTTATTAATTGAGAACTTTCACCTTTTCACTTAGAGGAAGCACTTTCTGGCTGCTTGTTGTCATATCTGAATTGCTAGCATGACTACTCTTGCACTTTGGGGCCATTATTTTTTCTTTCAATTAGCAATAATCGTGCCTCGGATAAACCTCATTAGTTACAATACTGCCACCGTGCAAAGCTGGGGCCATTATTAAGTAAAATAAGGGGTTACTTGAACACAAGCACTGTGATTCTCCAACAGTTGATCTGATAACCAAGACGGCTACTCAGTGACCAGAGGGTGGGTAGCATATGCAGCGTGGATATGCTAGACAGAGTGATGATTCATGTCCGGGCAGGATGGAGTAGGACAGTGTGAGATTTCACAACAGTTCACACAATTTAAAACCTACTATGAATGATATATTACTTGGATTTTCCATTTAACTTTTTCAGACCATGGTTGACCATGGGTAACTGACCCTGTGGAAAGCAAACCACGGATAAGGGGGGTACTACTGTAGTGGAAAAAAGCTCTGAACTGGGAGTCAAAAGAGCATACTTATGAATTTATAAATAGTTACATATAAACAAACAAGTTTTCACAAGTTTATCATTTTTATTAAATACTTTCTCCCATTTTAAGTATTAGGGTGAACTTCACATATTACCTCACAACATTATTGACCCAATATGTAGTTCTGTGATCGTATGATGTGGTATGTTTGTTTTCTTAAATGAACTCATTCTTATTTAGGTGCTTCATGCAGACATCTGTACCCAGGATTCACTTCTGCAAAATGCTGATGTTATTATAATGAATAACGTCTTCGAATATTTTCTTGATGAGGCAGAACAGGCCAGGTATGTTATTTATTCAGGCAAGAAGTCTGTTATCCAGCAAAGTATGAAAAGGGATTGGTAGAGTAGAAATGTTTGCATATTAAACTTTTAAAAATGACCTCAACTGTGAGATTATATTCAAAAGGAAATATGTTCTATATAAAATAAAAATAAACTGTCTGACTTTGTAAAGTATTGCATCTCATTTTAGGCAGATATGATATTTTTTGACCCAAGCATTTGCTTAGCCATCAGGGATGAAATAAAATATCATTTCCTAATGGGTCTTTATACTTTTTTCTGCCTCTGGTTTTTTTTTTCCCTTAAAAAAAATATGTCATGATGCTATCCTATCATAAAATGATGGGAATTAACTAATGCCTATTATTGAATATAAAACAAGATATAAGAGTATTAACCAAAATTGTGATTATCAAACTTGAAAAATGTTTTTAAGGGATAATAAGTAGTAGAAGTTTATTCCACTATTCAAGTAATGAAAAAATTAGCAAGTCTGCGATCATTTTTCTGACTTCTCTGCCACATTTTAATGCTTTGTGACCCATAAGGACCTATAGGTTCCTTTGATTAGAAAATTCCTCTAGTCTGTAGTCTGAGACACCAACTTTATGGCTACTTAGGCTTGCTGACTTCTTACTTATAAGGGCATATGCATACTTTAGATACAGGAAAGCTCCTTTCCATTGGCATGAAAGGGAATTAGACGAATGTTTGGATTACCTCAGAGAAATGAAAAAGTGCATATAATACAGACCATAAACAGTTAATACTGAGTGGAATCCTGAATGACTAAACCTCTTTATTCTGCCACCTGTTCACCTTCTGTATTCTGCCCCTGACCACCACTTTCTCTCTCTCCCACACACACATATGCACACCCATAGCCATTAGGTTAAGGTCACTACAAAATTAATAGTTTAAATAGTTTAAAAAGAAACTGCTTCAACAGAAAGCTAATCATATAATCAAATTTCAGCTAGAATGAGGGGTGATTTTTTGGTCACAGACTAAAGACCAGAAACACAACATGTGCTGTACCATGCCAGCACAGCCAAGGGTTCTGTGAGCCTGAGGAGGGGTGGTGAAGGATTAAAGAAAAGACAGACAAAGAAAATATGGCTGGGGCTCGGTGGAACTCCCATACCTGGATGAGGACACAGAAAGAGATCCAGCCGGCAAGCTGAGGCTTTATTTTATAGTCAGAGATACACAAGGTAGTGGTCACCATAGTTACAATGTTCTTGTGAGTTTCACTTGTTTAGGCAGCACTTGCTGCATCTCCCACAGCCCATTAGCTACCTAGGAACAATCTAGGGAGTGTCATAAGGTCAAGCTTAATTATGGTAAGAGGGCTGTGCCCTCTAAGCTGGGACTTGTTTGTGGCTCTGCCACAGGTCAATCCGAAGCTTAACCCTATAGCTACTCCCTACAATGTGCAAAGTTATTTTAATTATAATGCCCTTTTTAGACTTAATTTCCAGTGGACAAAGTATGATTAGCTTTTTATCTTTTTAAATTAATGGTCGGTAGTCAAAACATTACATAATTGTTGGAAAGTGAAATATTACCAGGTTTATGTTGCATAAGAAGTTTTAAAACACCCTAAACTCTTTGGAGATTTATTATATAAAGAGTTTGAATGCTGAGGAATGATGAAAGCTACTGCCGAACTTGATACTGGAAATACTGCATATTTGCATTATTTTCAAAACTCTCTTGCATTTATTCACAAGCTCTACATGATTCACTAAGTAGATATTGGCCACCTGTGTTAGTTCAGTCATTTTCCCTCAATTAGTCTAGCAAATGAATTCTAAATCTAGCTAGGTTATGTGACTCTCATAGTTAGTTATTTTATCTTCATCTTGAATGACAGTTCACAGAAGAAAGGTTAGAAGATATGGTAAATCATTCTGATACTGGAATTGTTCTGACAAAACTGGTCATTTACTCATTAATTCTATATTGTAGTAAGTAAAAGAGAATAGGTGGCACAGCATATACCCTCCAGAGATTTTTAATCTTAATCAGAATCTGAGGACAAGTGGAATGATACTGCTGCTATAGGAGTTAGTGCATAAAAGAAAACAAAAATATGTCATAATAATAGAAATGTGTACTCAGGAAAGGCTCAGGCTTCAGAATAAGCTAGATTTCATTTATAGCATAACACCCAGATTGTAAAGTAAGTATTAGTTTAAAAGGTACTTCTAGCCCTGGCCGGCTTGGTTGATTGTTGTCCTATCCTGGTGAGAGTGTGCACCTCTGAGAAGTTGGTCGGTGTTTCTCTCTCACATCGATGTTTCTTTGTCTCTCCCTTCCTATCTAAAATCAACAAAACTGTTTTAAAATAAAATAAAATAAAAGGTGCCCCTATGTATTTTCTTAGTAGGTGAAACAGATACAACTACTACCATGACAGCTTGTCAGAAATATTAAGTTCTATTTTGAGAGTCATGCCCAGTATACTTAGCTTCTTCATTCTTTTTAAATAAACTTATAAAATGTCATTTTTAAGGAACCACTGGAAAAAACACACGCAAACAGCTCTAGCCCAACCATGGTGATATTTATTATCAAACACTGCTACATGATTTTAGATCTAGCCTGAGAAAAAAACATTTGTATCATTTTATCTAGTTAACTCCAGAATGTACTAAACTTAATATCCATTGCTATAACTAAAATAAGTGCAAATGACACAGCTGCTCACCTGCCCCACTGCAAGGGATGCACATCTCTGCTTTTTCTGACCATCGGTCCCCAGTAGTGGGGTGTACTTTCAAGACTCAGCGTAGAAATCCAGTTCATGTCTGCACTAAAGATTAATCAGAACTGGTCAGACACTGCCCTCTGACCACACATGCACATGGCATTTCATCATGCTTTAAACCTGGCTGGTCCCACTAAACTTCTCAGGTGCCATATCGTCCAGAAGTCTTTCCATTGAATATTTATGGCAGCCAAATAAAGTATGATTTCACTTTTGATTTACTGTTAGTTTTTGCTTGGTGTCTGGTTTCTATAGCCTTTCTCCAGTACTCTGCCCCACCTCTACCCCTCAGCCCAGTTCCCTTCTGCAGAACCATTATTTCTTACATACTTTGTAAGAAATTTAAGAGCCGCTAACTGATGCAGCTTTGACTTCTGAATTGGTCCTGAAACTGAGTTTTGGCCTCACAATGCCTTGTAGTAACTCAAATCACGATCTCGTTAAATCTTGTCAACTGTAACTTCACAATTTTCCCAGCACCTCTTCTGGAACTGAAGAATTGACCAATTTCTAGTGTGTTACTGCAGTCCTATTTTCTGCAAGCAAACAATTTTGCTCATTTGAGATACCACTTGTGCTGCATTTTCTTTTGTCATCGGCATTTTAAAAGAATTTCCAGTGTCTGGTAAAACCTGACATAATGCTTCTAATGTGTTATAGAGCCTGGGAATGTATCAGCCATAACGTAAGGAAACAAGGATCGTTATTGGTGACAGTACCAAGTCTTGAAGAGTCTCTCTCAGGTCTTCAGGTATGTAAGCCTTCCTCGCATTTTTATTGTCAAAACTTTCCTTCTACTTTTTTCTGATAGCTGTTACAATATTCTAGAAATGTTCTGTCTGAATATAGTGACAGATGATAAAAAGAATAGCAAGATTTTATGGCTTAAGGACTGGTTCGTGGTTAGTTAACTAGCCTCAAGAGCTCTCAAGTTGCCATTCTTTTTTTTTTTTTTCTAAATATATTTTATTGATTTTTTACAGAGAGGAAGGGAGAGGGATAGAGAGTTAGAATCGATGAGAGAGAAACATCAATCAGCTGCCTCCTGCACACCTCCTCCTGGGGATGTGCCTGCAACCAAGGTACATGCCCTTGACCGGAATCGAACCTGGGACCTTTCAGTCCGCAGGCTGACGCTCTATCCACTGAGCCAAACCGGTTAGGGCTCAAGTTGCCATTCTTATCTCCATACGAACTCCTTTGCTTCTCCACCCAATTTTTCCAGCTGTGGGATTACAGTTCTGGAGAACAAATGCTATTAAATGTTTGTTAAGAGGCTTTAAACACCCACATCATAACTTTCCCTTAGAACAAAAGGAACAGAGTTATTCTAGGTTGTAGAATCAAATAAACTGGAGGCAGTGCAGTTTAGCCTCTAAGTCAGTTTGAAATCTTACACAAACCTCTCTTGCTCAGACTTTTCATATAAAATAAGGCTGATATTTAATAATATGATTCAACCCAATATATTGATCCTTATACAAAGGTTAATTAGTGTTTGTAAAGCTCTTTGAGATCCAAATGAAAAATAGTGTTGTATTTCTTAATACAGTATTATTATTTTCTTTAGTCATGCTTTCCTTATATGTAAGCACTGCCAAATTTAGGTATCTGGGTTTTTTTCCTTTAAAAAATCTAAACAATCATCAATAACACCTTTAAAAATTTTTTCGTCTATCATCTAAATTACAGAAGTAATTCATGTTTGCCATAACAAGGGAAGTAATCCATAGATACATAAAGAGAAGATGTTAGTCTCCCAGTTTCCCCCACTTCATTCTTCCCCATGAGATCCCTGCCTCCTGAGTGTGTGATCTTACCATACTCATAAAAACATGCCTTTAATTTTATTATGTTTTCATCCTCAACCGGGGATATGTTTTTATTGAGTTTTAGAGAGAGGAAGGGAGAGCGAGAGAAACATTGGAGTAAGAGAGAAACATCGATCAGCTGCCTCCCACACACACCCTGACCAGGGATTGAACCCACAACCTAGGTATGTGCCTTGACCAGGAATCCAACCTGTAACTTTTGGTGTATGGGACAATCCTCCAGCAACTGAGCCATACCGGCCAGGTCAAAACAAACCTTTTAAAATATGTGTTCTCCAATTTATAATTTCTACATATATTGAAATAATTCAGTTATTTTACCAAAATAACTTTCACACTAAATACATAAATCTGTCTTGACAACCATTGGAAATTAATATTTATAAGAGTCATTATTATAAATTCTTGAATAATTTTATTGCTCTCATATTTAATGAAACTTCTTTAAACAGATATATATTCATTGTTGGCTCCAGAATTTCTTTGTCATGGAGACTCAAGTTTTCAATGTGAAGGGAAGGGCCTGATGACGGTTATGGAGGGAGATGAGCCCTGCTTATACAACCCCTTAGCACCAACACTGTGTATATATGAGCAGTTTTCTGTGTGTTGCCATTGTTGTTTTAGAATTTTGTTTAAACCTAATGATGATTAAATTATGTACATTAAAACAATTCTTTATTTTCTTTATTCTTTAAAATTTCAAAATCTCAGAGTAAATTAATTAAATTCCTGAATCCATAGACCATTTAGTACAACAAAGAATTGTTCATGTGAATAATAAAAAGAAAAGAAAAAGAAAAGAATTGTTCATGTAGCACCATGTAGAACTTAGTCCTGCTCATTGTAATAAAAATCTGTTGTGTTGTCTGGCCGGTGTGGCTCAGGGGTCAACCTGTGAACCAGGAGGTCATGGTTCAATTCCTGGTCAGGGCAAATTCCTGGGTTGCAGGCTCAATCCCCACTGGGGGGCGTGCAGGTGGCGCCAATCAATGATTCTCATCATTGATGTTTCTATCTCTCTCTTCCTCTTTGAAATCAATAAAAATATATTTTTAAAAAATCTGTTGTGTTTAGTAACTTACTTAGTCATGATTTCTTCCAGAAAATAGGATTATTCTGTAATTTTCCTATTTGTTTATAATCTTTTTTTTTTTTCCAGGTTAGTATACAGTTATCTTCCTGCTAAATATATTTTATTGATTTTTTACAGAGAGGAAGGGAGAGGGATAGAGAGTTAGAATCGATGAGAGAGAAACATCAATCAGCTGCCTCCTGCACACCTCCTACTGGGGATGTGCCTGCAACCAAGGTACATGCCCTTGACCGGAATCGAACCTGGGACCTTTCAGTCCGCAGGCTGACGCTCTATCCACTGAGCCAAACCGGTTAGGGCTCAAGTTGCCATTCTTATCTCCATACGAACTCCTTTGCTTCTCCACCCAATTTTTCCAGCTGTGGGATTACAGTTCTGGAGAACAAATGCTATTAAATGTTTGTTAAGAGGCTTTAAACACCCACATCATAACTTTCCCTTAGAACAAAAGGAACAGAGTTATTCAAGGTTGTAGAATCAAATAAACTGGAGGCAGTGCAGTTTAGCCTCTAAGTCAGTTTGAAATCTTACACAAACCTCTCTTGCTCAGACTTTTCATATAAAATAAGGCTGATATTTAATAATATGATTCAACCCAATATATTGATCCTTATACAAAGGTTAATTAGTGTTTGTAAAGCTCTTTGAGATCCAAATGAAAAATAGTGTTGTATTTCTTAATACAGTATTATTATTTTCTTTAGTCATGCTTTCCTTATATGTAAGCACTGCCAAATTTAGGTATCTGGGTTTTTTTCCTTTAAAAAATCTAAACAATCATCAATAACACCTTTAAAAATTTTTTCGTCTATCATCTAAATTACAGAAGTAATTCATGTTTGCCATAACAAGGGAAGTAATCCATAGATACATAAAGAGAAGATGTTAGTCTCCCAGTTTCCCCCACTTCATTCTTCCCCATGAGATCCCTGCCTCCTGAGTGTGTGATCTTACCATACTCATAAAAACATGCCTTTAATTTTATTATGTTTTCATCCTCAACCGGGGATATGTTTTTATTGAGTTTTAGAGAGAGGAAGGGAGAGCGAGAGAAACATTGGAGTAAGAGAGAAACATCGATCAGCTGCCTCCCACACACACCCTGACCAGGGATTGAACCCACAACCTAGGTATGTGCCTTGACCAGGAATCCAACCTGTAACTTTTGGTGTATGGGACAATCCTCCAGCAACTGAGCCATACCGGCCAGGTCAAAACAAACCTTTTAAAATATGTGGTCTCCAATTTATAATTTCTACATATATTGAAATAATTCAGTTATTTTACCAAAATAACTTTCACACTAAATACATAAATCTGTCTTGACAACCATTGGAAATTAATATTTATAAGAGTCATTATTATAAATTCTTGAATAATTTTATTGCTCTCATATTTAATGAAACTTCTTTAAACAGATATATATTCATTGTTGGCTCCAGAATTTCTTTGTCATGGAGACTCAAGTTTTCAATGTGAAGGGAAGGGCCTGATGACGGTTATGGAGGGAGATGAGCCCTGCTTATACAACCCCTTAGCACCAACACTGTGTATATATGAGCAGTTTTCTGTGTGTTGCCATTGTTGTTTTAGAATTTTGTTTAAACCTAATGATGATTAAATTATGTACATTAAAACAATTCTTTATTTTCTTTATTCTTTAAAATTTCAAAATCTCAGAGTAAATTAATTAAATTCCTGAATCCATAGACCATTTAGTACAACAAAGAATTGTTCATGTGAATAATAAAAAGAAAAGAAAAAGAAAAGAATTGTTCATGTAGCACCATGTAGAACTTAGTCCTGCTCATTGTAATAAAAATCTGTTGTGTTGTCTGGCCGGTGTGGCTCAGGGGTCAACCTGTGAACCAGGAGGTCATGGTTCAATTCCTGGTCAGGGCAAATGCCTGGGTTGCAGGCTCAATCCCCACTGGGGGGCGTGCAGGTGGCAGCCGATCAATGATTCTCATCATTGATGTTTCTATCTCTCTCTTCCTCTTTGAAATCAATAAAAAAAATTTTCAAAAAATCTGTTGTGTTTAGTAACTTACTTAGTCATGATTTCTTCCAGAAAATAGGATTATTCTGTTATTTTCCTATTTGTTTATAATCTTTTTTTTTTTTCCAGGTTAGTATACAGTTATCTTCCTGGGTTGAAGAGGTACCACTGAACTATGATGTATACCCAGAAAAGGATATTAACAGGGAAGCTCTTGAACAAATACATTTATATAAGATTCTCTAGCACTAAAATAGTCCTACTGCAATATAATGTTTTTTGAGTATTACAAAATAATGAAAAAGAAACATAACCCCAACACCCAAACACCTATTTTTTGTGTGTATTCCTTTCTAGTCTTTGTACATATGTTTACATATTTATAAATAGTTGCATTTGTATATTTGTAACTTTGATTTGTGTGATAATTTAATTAAAATACTTACCTGAAAATTTTTTGTTTTCCTCTAGTTTCTTTTATTCTGTTACAAATATAAATATGTCTTTCTTTAGTCATTAACTCTGTATACCAAGTCCAGATATAACAACAACAAAAAAAGACTAGAAGTAGCTTCTATTAAGAGAAGGTTGGAGAGGAAGGTTAAGTTACATTGTATTCCAATTATTAGATCTCTGTTCTGTCAGATTCCTTTTTTTTCTTTGTGTCAGATTCCTTATATACAGTTTTATCTGAAGAGTCTAGCACAAGGACTAAAATAAAAAATAATTACAGTTGCTAGGGAAAAGCAAAACTAGAAAGATAGCCTCCAAAATATAGTAAGTAGAGATTACTAGTATATCTAGGTGGAACAATTACTGGTGATTTTTTTTTTTCCTTTTCTGTATTTTTTTCTATAATGACTATATTTCTTTTGAAGTCAGGAAAAGCAAAACTTTTTAACGAATACAATGGAACATCAAAACTTGAACACTTAAACTCCACTGGTGTTGCTCAATGGTTGAGTGTCAACCATGAACCAGAAGGTCACGGCTCAATTCCTGGTCAGGGCAAATGCCCAGGTTTCGGGCTCGATCCACAGTAGGGGGTGTGCAGGAGGCAGCTGATTGATGATTCTCTCTCATCACTGATGTTTCCATCTCTCTGTCACTTTCTCTTTCTCTGAAATCAATAAAAACATTAACAACAAAAACTTGAACACTTAACTAGTTCTAGAGCATTACATAAAATACACATAGTATTCATCCATGAAAAAATGAGTTTATTAGCAATATGGCACATAATCACAAGTATGTAACAGTTACTGAACTTCACTTTATACTGTACTTATTCTTAATAAAGTATGTCCTAAACTCTAAACCCCAATCACCCTAGTGTATATTTAAATGTTTCTCAGAAGCATGAACCTCTAAAGCAAAGTATGCTGCTATGGCTCTTGGTGAATGCCAGAACTCCCATTCTAGAAAGAATGCCCTGGACAGGCCAGAAGAGTAGAGAACACTAGCAATACTCAGGGCCCTGAGGGGAGAAATCTATTTGTAAACCTAGTTTCAAATCATTCAGCCCCTCATCTGTAAAACAAAAATAAGAATTCAGCCATCAGTGGAATATAGTAAAAAATACAGATTATAGGTGGTTACCATAGATATGTGATTAAAATTACAGAAATAACGGGCAATTGTTTAAATACTGTCACTGCTGTGATTTTAGACATGTCAAAATGAGCCATGGATCTTTAGTTGATGAGTGGAAAAAAGGTCTAAAATATTGGAAAGTATTTTGTGTGACATGTATATACTAATATATCTACACTAATAAAAGACAAACATGCAAATTTTACCTTCGCTACGCCTTAAGCCATACCCACCAACCAATCAGAGTGACTATATGCAAATTAACCCAACCAAGATGACGGCCGGCAGCCATGGAGCTGGAGCAAGGAGGAGGCTTGGTTGCCCCAATGATGGAGGAAGCCAAGCTTCCCGACCGGCTCTGAGCTCCACTCAAAGCAATAAAGTTTCAATTATAGAAGATAAATAAACCCCAGATACCTGATTTCAGCCGGTCGTGGCCATGGAGCTGGAGCAAGCAGGAGTGGGTTGCCCCTGGCGATGGAGGAAGCCAAGCTTCCCTCCCGCCCACCCAGGCTACAAAATTTCAATTATAGAAGGTAAATAAATCCCAGAATAAAAAAAAAAGAAAAAAGGGAGAGGCTGGGAGCTTCCATCACCAGGTGTGCTTGGCCAGCCTGAAAATGGCCCTCAGCCCCTCATCCAGACTGGCCAGACACCCCAGTGGGGACCCCCCACCCTAAAGGGGGTGTGGCCAGCCTGAAAACAGCCATCAGCCCCTCACCCAGGCTGGCCAAACCTCCATGGGGTAAGGGTCCCCACT